CTTCCCTAGCACACTCTCCCAGTTCCTATCAACCCGCAATTCAGGAACTTCTTGTGCAAGGCTTTGTGGCCATAGCAGTTTTCGGTAGTTCTTGATGAACTGTTCTTCCATGATTTTTTTTTAAGCACTTTGCATTCTGTGGCAATGATCTATATAGCTTAATTGTACACAATATATAAAAAGTATTTTTATTTTAAATATTGCTTGATAACCCCACCGGACACACTGTACGTCTTGTACTGTGAGAATTATGAGTAAACGCACCCTCTTCACGTTACTCACCATTTGTAAGACCTACCATGCGACGTCCTTTCCAAACTGGAGAGTCTGTAGTAATCCTCCCCCAGGCAGCTTCCTTTAATTAGTCAAATTCGATCAAGACTGACTTGTCAGGGGTATTCCAAGGACCTTTCTGTCAATATAGCAACGCTGAATGTACACAAAAGCCACTTGCACACAATGGGCAGAGAAATGCAAGCATGGAAGGTTTGAAATGCAAGCATGGAAGATTTACCTATCATGGATTACTTCTGGAATACTTCCAGGCACCTTGAATCACCACTGGAAAAATCACTTGCGTCGGAGCAGGATGGGCCAGGCAGCTGTACAGCATTTTGTGGAACTCTGTGCTGATTTTGATATAGCAAAACCATCTACTATCAAGAGCAGGGAGTGTAAAGACAAATGTCGTTGGTATCCTTTGCTGGTACGGAGACCCAGCTTACCCACTGCTGCTGTGTACCATTAACCTGTATATACGCTACCTCGACTCCCACAAGAAGCCGGGCGATTAGAAAGTAACGTTTGAACACAAATCTGGGCTTCTGAAAGCAAGAGAGTCCTCAGTGTGCAGGAAACTGTTGTGTTAAAATCCCTCTCTTATTCCGAGGCTGCACACACCAGGGGACAAGAATTTGGCAAATTTTGTATGGCAGAATCTTGAGAGACATGAGCAGCTTTTTAAACATTTCCAGGGTGCCTGGGTTTCAGTTTTTGAACAAACAAGCAGATGTGTCTGATCGGCCTTCCCAAAGCTCCTCTCCTCCCACCACTGTTTTTGGAAAGCAGCCCCTCATTCCTGATTTCCTTCTTCCCTATTTTACTTATCTAAAAGCACCAAATGAAATCAAGAATGTTAAACAGCCAGAATTTTATCATGCAAAATACAAAGCTCTGCAAAAAATACAGATTAGGGAGAATATAATTAGGATAATTGAAATTGGAAAAAGGATCTGAAATGCTTAAAAAAAAAAGTAATAAAAAGGATAGTTTGGCAGAAGGGAGCTAGTTTACAGTTACTAGTAACAACTGAAGTATTAGAGCGTAGGGAATTTCTCAGTCTTTCAGAGCCAATACTGCTTAAGGCCACAGACAGGCGAGCCCGAGCTGGTGACAACACAGCCAAGGTAAGTGCTGGAGCACCAAACAGGAGGCCAGCACACAGGCAAAGAGAAGGCTCCCGGGTGCCCTAATGGAGGAGCTGTGCTCTCAACCCCAGCAACTGAATCCAGGGCGTTACTAGTCCCTGATTTGGTTTCCAAGAATTAAATGTTTTTCGCAGACTGCAGCACTCCAGGCTAATAGGATTGGGACGGGAGGGAGCACTAACTACAACGCGCAGCTCATCACCCAGCCTGGAGGATCACAGTGTTCCTCAGCAGGACAGATGTGGAGAAGAGGCTCCTGCCTTCCAGCTGCCTGTCTGTCCCAACAGAGACGTAAAATTTTTGCAGCCCAACTCAGAAAGTTGCAGCTGCCACAAGTGGACGCAGGGGCCTGCCAGCAGCAGCTTGTCTTCCCAGCAGCAGCTGCTGTGCTGGCTTCCCTGCCTCTGACCTTGCCTTTGGACCTGCAGGTTTGTCCATCCTGCTGGCAGCCCCAGACAGCCATCTGCTGGGCAAGTGCATCATAAACCAACCTAGAACAGCATTTACAACCAGGATGGTTATGCTTCAGTTCTTCCTAGCTTCCTGCGAGTTTAGGAGCTCAACAGGATGCATGATTTGACAGAGCAGCTAGAATAGGAGCCCTCAGCATAAGAAAGACACAGACCTGTGGGAGCGGGTCCAGAAGAGGGCCATGAAAATGATCAGGGGGATGGAACACCTCTCCTATGAAGAAAGGCTGAGAGAGTTGGGGTTGTTCGGCCTAGAGAAGAGAAGAGAAGGCTTCGGGGAGACCTTCTTGCAGCCTATCAGTACTTAAAGGGGGCTTATAAAAAAGATGGAGGCAGACTTCTTAGCAGGGCGTGTTGTGACAGGACAAGGGGGAATGAAGGGGGTAGATTTAGACTAGATATAAGGAAGAAATTTTTTACGCTGAGGGTGGTGAAACACTGGCACAGGTTGCCCAGAGAGGTGGTGGATGCCCCATCCCTGGAAACATTCCAGGTCAGGTTGGACGGGGCTCTGAGCAACCTGATCTAGTTGAAGATGTCCCTGCCCACGGCAGGGGGGTTGGACTAGATGGCCTTTAGAGGTCCCTTCCAACCCAAACTATTCTATGATTCTATCGTTAAGCATCAGCGTCTGGAATTTTAAGAAGATGCACGTCTGTGCCTCCCAAAAAGCCACAGTATTTCTGGAACACATAAGTAAAAAGGAAGGAAAAAAATTCAGCTTTTTAACACTTCTTAAACCTGAAAGTTGCTTCTAAGCATCACTGCCCAAGCACAGAAGTCAGAAAGGTGGCCAGAGCAGCTAGGGAACCAAAGCAGTACAGGATAGCATTTGGTGGTCAGGAAGCACAGAGCCATAAAGGCAGGCCTGGTACCTCTTGAAACTAGGTTGGATTTAGCCTCAGTAAACCTAGAGTTGTGTTTAAAACCATTTGAGAGGTTAATGTCCTTTAATCACCACTTCTCTGAACCAGAAGTAACTCCGTGTTCATGCTTTAAGTATTTCACTCATCCATAGCTGCAGTGACTTTGAGAAGCAGGAGCAGCAGCAGGTTACCAAGCAGCGAGGAATGGGGAAGGTCGGCGGCGGGTAAGGCAGCAGGGAGAACGTGGAGGCAGCTCCAAGCGACTGGGATTTTCCCACACCGGGGGCTACCTCATTGGTTTCACACCCCCACCCTGTGAAACACAAGATGTGGACTCTGGGGAAGGCAGGTTCCCCTTCTGGTCCTTCCAAAGAATTTGGAAGGAAAGTGGGATTCAAGGCTCCTGCAGCACTTTTGGGTGGAAGGTGTTCAGGGCTGACCCTGTCTGTGGAAAGCCAAGGTGAAGACCGTGTCCTTATGGTACAGACCAACAGACCACGCCAGACCAAGGACACACTCCCGGCCTGTTTTCCTGTGGGGCACCGGGACAGATGCTTTCCCTAAGCTCCCCTCTATCTACGTCCAGGCCTCTCCCTGTAAAATATAAAATACCTTCCACAAGCAAGATGTGTTATTTAGTGTCTGGCTTTATAGTTAAAAAGCTGCGGCCACAACACAGCACCTAACAGGACTTGTTTGACAAGCATGTGAAGTGCAGAACATTCATTTCCACAGCTCACGTCAGAAATCCAAAAGCTAAAAGACAAGGGGTTAACACTTAAAGACAGCACGGCACAACTTATTTCCCAATCACATCTCAGAATTAAGAATTGGAAAACTTCTGCAAAACTAACCATGCATGTGACCAGGCAAAAAGTAAATGAACGGAAGCACACATTCCAGCCAAGCAGCAGCTAGCTTATTGGGGTTCTAATAACTCCGCATCAAAACCAAAAGAAATTAAAGTTGCTTTTTGCTTCTTAGCATTAGTCATTTCTCAAATGAAAATATGGTTATGTTTAATGATAATAAGAGAAAACCAAGGAACAAGAGCAAGAATAAAGTTAGACAAGACTGCACAGCCGGTGTCCCCTTCACGTATCCTCCTCGTGTCAGAGAAACTGAGTTCTTGGAAGTGCTGTTAAATTTTCTCAGATCAGGCACTGAATCCCAGGACACGGCATGCGATGAATCAAATATATCACAGGTTGCTATGAATCATGCTGTACTTTTGAAATCGCATTTGGGATATCTTCAGTGGGACAGAAAGGGATTTCAGAGAAAAGTTCAGGATCAAACGCATTTCCCCACTGGCTGCCTCAGTAAAGCTTAGTACAAATGTTAAGCATAATTCATTTTTCCTCCTAGTTCCACAGAAAAGATCAGTGTGCGAGATCCGATAGGGTATCTGTAATACCCCTCAACCCACTGATACGTAGCTGTGGCCTCCCCTGCTTAGTTCTGTGTTTGCTGCATTACATGCACGTAAGATTAAAACCTCTGTCAACATAGAAATAGCCACAACTAAAAAACCGCAAGAGATGAGAATGCTATCTGACATTGTTTGTAGATACTAGTCTGTGCAGCTGCTAACTCATGCCCTGAGAGTTAAGTACACACTGCCAAACAATTATTTTAAGGAAGGTTTTCAGCATTAATAGCTACATGTTTCTTCAGTAAATAAAGAATTACATTTTAAGAAGTGTCCCCTTCTTCCATGAGGAAGTACTTAAGGTAGTGTGTGTAACAGTGACAGCGGTCTGTTAGCAGCGTTACTGCTGTGGTACATTGGCTCAGAAGACAGGTGTATCACCTCTAACTCCTCATCAACTCTGTTTCAGAGCTACAGCTTACATTTCTGAACGGCACATAGCACCACCTAAAGAATGTGAGGAAGGCAGAAAGGTATTAGGCAAGCAATCATTCCTGAAACGTCAAGTGATCATTCGTTTATTCCTTTGAGGCAGACTTGCACTCTCTTCCTTCTCCTCTCTGATTTCCAAAGACTTCCTAGTCTTCATAGGCCTGGTGCAATCCAGTTAAGAAACTTCATAGCAACTTCAAAACCAAGAAAACATGCCTGGAAAAGACAGAATACACAGAACAAGTGAGGATTCTAAAAACCTATTCCAAACAAGGTTTTTGAAATGCAGCACTATAAACACCTGACGTGGCTGATGTGGAAGGAGGAAGAGAACAAAAAAGGTCTTGGACCAGAGGCAAAAATCCTACTATATCCCTCCACACAAAGGCAGAACTTCTACTCTTTTAGGCTCATTATTTATTGAAGGGGAAGCCAGTCCAAACTTATCCACACATTTCTGCCTTCTACTGGTGGATGTACAATCAGCCAAGAAATACTATCAGAATGAGTCAACAAAGGGCTTTCATGCAAAGCTTCAAAGGAAGGTTTAATTGGTGTTCCCCCTAGATTAAGGTACATTTTTAGAACCTGGACGCCAACAGCCAAAAGTACCTGCAGTGACAAGAATCTCACTGAAATGGTACAACAGTAAGCAGCCAGTCATCTCCTCTACAGACTGCAAATATTCACTGTGAGAGGCCAGGTCCCCAAAACCCATCTGGAATTTCAATTTACTTACCGCGTTAGCGGGAAATGCCCTGATCATTACAGCTGTGAAGCCCTTATACAGAGATGCAACTCCTTCCTCTTTGATAAGTTCTCTCAGCACATCTCTAAAGCCATTTGGGTATTTTCCTGGAGGAGCTGAAAGAGATACAAAACACATCAGCTAAGATGTGTGGCAGTCACAAACGCTGAAGAATGTGGCGTATGTAACAGCCCAGGATTTTCAACAGGTTTGTATTGCTGTACCATCTAGGTGACACCAGAATCCAAGCATTGCTGAAGCTAAGTTGTGAAAACATCTGCTTGGGGAAATTATCTATTTCAGTCAAAAACAAGCAAACAAAAAAGACACCTTACTAAAGACTCGGTAAACAGAAGGTAAGTGCTCACCATCACCACAAAGAATTTACCTAATCAAGTCATTGGGGGGCAGGGAAGAAAGGAGAATAACGTTTGTCAGCGTTGGATGTCTGAGCTGTTACTTGCACCGCTGATCACAGCTCTCCCAAGAGCTGCAATTAGGAAATAGGAAGGTCAGATATAAAAATTGATGAAGTTTGTTTATAAGAAACAGAAAATGATCCTATCACATACCCCAGCCAAGAATAGCAACAAACTTCAAGTGAAAAGCACAGGCTGTTTTAATGCTGATGTTACACAGATTTGCTGAGGTGTTTTTAAAAAGTTATTTTATTCAAAGACCAAGTTCTTCCTTGTCCTGACACTTCTCTGGAAAGTACTGCCTCTGCCAGCCCTCTGAACGAGTACTCCACAAACCAACCCGGTTAAACAGAACCACCATTAAAGCATATCATCTATACACCAGCACTGGGGATTGGCTCAGTGGAATAAGGATGCAAAGCTGTAACGTATTTCACACTCAGCCCTTGGTACGGTATCAAACAACCACAGAGAGCTGAGTCCACAGACAGAGAATACGAGGAGCCTTATAAAAAATATTCATTGACTTGGACTCCCAGAGAAACCAATGAAAAACCTGTCAAACTTCGCTGCAGCTCAAGGCCTGGGGCCATCCTCACTATAACTGGGCCTCCGATACTTAAGAGCAGATCTGCTAGTCTAAAAGCAACGCTCTCGGCAAGGCATGCCCAGTTACTATAAATTTCAGATAGCATAGGCTACTATTTATACAACTATGTCTGAAGTGAAATAACAAAACCTCTCAAAGAATTACATTTGTAATAAAACAGCCATGACAAGCTGTTATATTATTATGACTTCGATGCTTCAGTTTCAAAACAGGTATCTCAAATCAGGATCATTAGCGGGGAGGCAGAAACAGAGAAGTGCAGCCTGATTTGCCAAAAATTTGCGAGGAAACCAACTAAATAGCTAGGAACACACTTGCGTTTTTCATGTACTTGTCTCAAGCAGTGCTCAAGACATGCTACCTCCCAGACGCCACGCTCAGATGGCTCCTCCATCGCTGCCCAGCCCATTCCCAGAAGCACCGCACCGAGCGTGGCCGTGACAAGCTGGCATGCAACTCACCAGTCTGGAAACGGGATTTCAGCACGTCTGGTGGAATGGCAACTGCCCAGTTGAAGATCCCAGCCAGGCCCCCAGCGAAGAGGATCCTAGGCACACTGAGGTCACTCACACTGTGGCAGGATTGGGGTGGGGTGGGAGGAAAAAGAAAAGGAAAAAAAAAAAAAAAAGAAAAAAAAAGTTAAAACTCATCTGTTTTTAAGGTGACAACCAAAGAGGCAGCCTGGCTGACAGCCAGAAGGCAGCACAATGCTGCAGACACAGAGTGCAGTATTTGAGCAAGACTTCCAAGAATCAGAGCCCCGTGGGCAACATGTACTAACTCCACCCTAAAGGTTCAATTCTTTTCATTCAGCAGTGCACACACAAATGCTGTTTGTGTACACACAACCAACCAACAAAAAACCCCAACAACAAAACCCCCCAGCTCTTTGTGCACACACAGGGGGCAAAAGTGAAGAGACCTACTTTAAGTATTCCTTACTTGGCTAATAAGATCCAAGGCTAGAATCTGAGAGGAACTCAGAACACTGTTTTAATTGTCAGTTAACGCCAGACCAAAACAGATCAACTCACAAGACGAGCAACCTTTTTTTTTTTTTTTACATTTGTTTTGATGATACTGCTGTAAATCTCTTTGTAATTGGGGAGAT